CTGATTCACCCTAATGCAATCCTTCACACCAAGCATGCTTGTAGTGACAGTGGAGAGGAAAAACTCAGTTTTAACAGGAAGAAACCGGCAGCAGAACCAGGCTCAGTGTTTGAAAAATAAAACCTTCTTGTGTTTCTTTTCTGATGCTGTGGATTCTGTAGTAATTTCTTAGTACGTTATGTTTCCTAAAAGCTAATCTTTTTTTTTTTTTTTTTTTTTTTTTTTTTTTTTTTTTTTTTTTTTTTTATGTGGGTCAGCAGGTGGTTCGAAGTGGTCCCATGGCGGGCTCAGCCTCCTCCAGTTCTAAAGAGCGCCCATCCTCCAGGACCAGTTTCATCCCAGAGCTGCAGAGCATGATGTAGGACACACAAACACCCCTGGGTTTTACAGACACTCTGAGGACCTTTCATTAACCTCTATATATGTTCAAAAAGTTGACCGTAAAGCTGACCTTTATTGGTGCATCCCTAAACTAAATCTAATCAACATTTTATGCTGCGTTCACACCCAAGGCGTCCATCTTAAATTCTATGGCTCATTGACGCCGTCTGGGAGAGAATATCTTTGTTTATTTAGATGGTAAAAACCTCAAGTGTCAGGATATAAAACTGAACGTTTCAGTGCCAAGTGTTGATGTTTTATGAACGTATTTATAAACTGTTTCGACACAGTTCCGTTTCAAAATATTTCATTAGAGTGATCAGAGCGCCGCTCATCCTCCTGACTTTATATGTGAACCAGTGGAGTGTTACATCTTTAGATATTGACCACCTCCTGTTATCATTGATGGTTTTTCTGCAGTTCGAACGCACCTTAGGCCCTCTCCACGCCCCTTGAGGCGCGTTCAACATGCACTGCAGGTCAACTGGATGTCTCTGATGCCTTTAGTCCTGAAACTAACCTCTAACTAAACAAAGGCAGGAGATTTTCCTGTCCTCCTTTTGTTTTTAAAGACAAGCAGAGTCAACCGAGTCCTCACTCAGCATCATGAACAGGAGCAAACACTCTCATATAGAGTTTAATAATATGTCTTACCCCAGTACAGCATGGGGCTGGAGCTGCTGAACAGACTGTTGGAAGCCATTAAAAAAACCTGAAGAAGAAATAAAACACAGTAATGAAGTTCTACTTTAATCTAGCAGAGATCTAAACAGGCCACAGCTCCTCAGATACAGCATCTGATGGA